CTTCTTGTCATGGATGCTCCAACGTTTTTAAAACTAATTTTGGACAAATTACTTTGCACTAGTTGAGGTTAACGCTTATATGCTGGTCATTCTATACGCCATCTCAGATTCTAACTGACGAGGCTGTTTTTGCAGATTTAACCGTGTACACACAGTGCATTATAACTCACAAAAAACAATATTGTTCGTGTGAACGCTGACAATAGTATGACTCAGTATCTACTACATTACACTACACTGGCAATCCCAGAGACATGGAAAACTGGAAAATACAATCAAGCCATTAATCTTTCAGAAGGTGAGCTCCCCGCCCGCAGAGGCGGCGCGTCTCATCTCGGCAGGGGCGAAGAACATCGCAGGGCGCTCTAAAGTGTGATTGGGATTTAAACCGATTCCATTGGGCAAACTGACAATGACGGCATGAGTAAACAGCTACTGGTGATATATGGTTCAACGGGGCGTTTGTCATTGAAAGCATATAGATAACTAAACGCACTTCGAAGCCGTTAAGTTGTCAATGTTGAGGAATAAATCATTACGTGTATTGTGCGAATTTCGTAGAGGATATGATTGTTTTGTATGTCTTGATATATATAAGGTGGGAACGATGATTACTTTAAAACAGATTTGTGAAGGGGAAGGGGTTTGTCTGGACAAGACTTCTGTGGGTGGGTTGATAATGGTGAAAAACGTAGGCGGTTGGGCGAAAGCACTACAAAATTATATCGTATCGTGCTTTATGATTTTGCATCCGTCTTAAACTTTGATTTTGATCGGTGGGTCAAAATTTGTTTTTTAATCTTGGCCTGATTTGTTATAACTGTAAACTCTGACTGCAGCAAATCTGCTTCTTGGATCTGTTGCTTGGAGATTTGGTTATAGATGGACATTAACATAAACCGTACGCCCTGTGGAGAAGTCCCAACACCAAGGTGAATGTTAGATGCAATGAGTGAGTGAGTGAACGAGTATGGTTTTACGTCGCCTCTAACAATATTCCAGCAATATCACGGCGGGGGACACCATAAATGGGCTTCGCATATTGTACCCTTGTGGGGATTTGAACCCGGGACGAGCGCACGCTTTAACCATTAGTCTAGCCTTCCGCCCTGATGCAATAAGACTGAAAGCCGTGCTGTGGTATCTGGTAGTGATGATACCCCATACAAACTGACTACGCAAAAAATAACATCCTCTAGTTATTTGGTATTGTCAAACTATTTTATCGTATATGAAACGGAAAAATTGTAGTGTACTATTCACACTTTGCTAAGGATCAAATCATGGATTCAACAGAAAACTATGATGTGGGGTCAAATTTGGTCTAAATATCGAAGCTTATTGTAAGCATGGTTCCTAAGTTTCAGCATTTCATTGCATCTTGTGGATCCCATACCTGCTATTGACAGGTGTTCTTTATTTGTAAATGACCCGTTCCATGATTTGCAAAATGGTTGATTTGTGCCATGAAAACCATTTTTATGGCTACTCGTTATCAAGTGCATAAGGTTAGAATAAAGTGTCTGGCTGCCCGAAGACCCGGGTTCGATTCCCAACATGGGTACAATGTGGGAAGCCCATTTCTTGTGTCCCCCGCCGTGATATTGCTGGAATATTGCTAAAAGCGGCGTAAAACCATACTCACTCACTCACTCTTATCTGAGTCCGGTGTAATTTCGTATTGTGAGTTGTATCCTATGTTCCCGTGTTAATTAGGTGAGTAACAGACTCGCCTTTGCATATGTCTGTGATGGATGTTACCATTTGTGTCTTTCCAATTCTTTTTAAGAACACTAGGTGTTATCACTATGGGTGGTGATTCGTGCTCATGCTAAAGTCGGAATCTTGAAATGGCCTCTGTTTTAGTAATGATTATGAAAAATGGGTTTGTCACTTTTGTTAATAGAGACAAACAGCACATGCACAAACATATGCACGCATATTCTCACATCTACACGCATAAACACAGACTAAAACTGACTGACATACACGATGACACAAAAAACACATACTAAAGTACCCATGCGCGCACGCACGCACGAACACACACACAAAAATAAAATGGGCAGTCCGGTGAGGTGAAATGGGGTTTATCGTCGTGCTTGAGAATATTTCGCTCATATGACGACGTGCATGCGTGTGTATGTGTATGTGCGGCTGCTTGTACTAGCCCAGACTGAAGCTGGTTTTATAGTGCTAGCCCACTGAGATACCATGCCGCAGTGAAGCATGAATACCCCACTCAGACACATTATACTGACTCCGAGCCGACCAGTCCTTGTTGTACCCATTAATGCCGAGCGCCAGGCAGGGACCAACAAGTACCATATTTTAACGTCTTTTGGTATGACGCGGTCGGGGATCGAACCCGCGACCTTCCGCTCTCCGGGCGGACGCTCTAACCACTACACCACGGAGGCGGTCAAATGGGCTGTCCGATAGCTACCAGATAGGTAAATGTTTATCGGGGGGAAGTGAAGACACTGCTATACATTAGGGGTATAAATATAAACGACAAAACATCGTTCCGCATCGTTTAGTTGATTCTTCTAATTCAAAAGTTAATTAATTATAATTAAAAACCCGATTTTACATAATATATAATTAAAGTTATTAAATAAGTAGTTTTAAATCAGAAGGTACCACATGTTTGTCACAACTGCAAGAACATTTTAAAAATTCAATGAGTATTATTAAGTGAAGCGGTATGAAATGGAATAATATTTCACAGGCACTCACCACATATAAACGGCATCGTATCACAATTGAGTACACCGGTGCTCATCATGTTGATCACTGGATTATCTGGTCAAGACTCGATTACTGGTATTATATTTCGGACCCGTGAAGATCCGGGGTAGAATAGGTCTTCATAAACCCATGCATGCAATATATGCTTGTCGTAAGAGGCGACTAACGGGATCGGGTGTCAGGCTCACTGACTTGCTTGACACATGTCATCGGTTCCCAATTGCGCAGATCGATGCTCATGCTGCTGATCACTGGAATGTCTGGTTCAGACTCGATCATTTACAGACCGCCGCCATATAGCTGGAATATGACTGAGTGCGGCGTAAAACTAAACTCACTCCAGTGATATAAATGGAGAAATGGACAGGACAGCTCTCTACTTCAGAAAACGTGTTGGTATTGCAAACCCATAAGCTTGAGCTTGGGATGTTCTCCCAAGACGACAATAAAGTGTGTCATTTCTGGTGGGCGTTCCAACCGCAAAAGGAAAAAAAAACACACTTTCGTTTGCTTTCTGTTGGGAGTTAGACCGAGGTATGATCAATCACGGGACTGCCTTTACCCATCTGACACTAAACAAGGCCAAGACAAATGAGCTTCAAATCCTGTGTTTATTAACAGAATCCAAACTGGGAGTGCTTCAGACATCATGTTGGTCAGTGATGTGTCAAATGTGGACATGTCTCCCCCCTCACTATTGCCGAACATTGAGAAAAGTCGGCTCTGGTAACGCTGAAGGTATTCCTCTCGTCATGCAGTGTTGTCATCGGTAAAACCCGTGAAGATCCGGGTTAGAATTGATCTTCAGTAACCCATGCTTGTGGTAAGAGGCGACTAACGGGACCGGATAGTCGGGCTCGCTAACTTGGTTGACACATGCCATCGTATCCTAATTGCGTAGATCGATGCTCGTGCTGTTGATCACTGGATTGTCGGGTCAAAACTCGATTATTTACAGACCACAGCCATATAGCTGGAATATTGCAGAGTGCGGCGTAAAACTCACTCACTCATTGGTTCAAACCTTATTGGACCGCCTCCGTGGTGTAGTGGTTAGAGCGTCCGCCCGGAGAGCGGAAGGTCGCGGGTTCGATCCCCGACCGCGTCATACCAAAAGACGTTAAAATATGGTACTTGTTGGTCCCTGCCTGGCGTTCGGCATTAATGGGTACAACAAGGACTAGTCGGCTCGGAGTGAGTATAATGTGTCTGAGTGGGGTATTCATGCTTCACTGCGGCATATTATCTCAGTGGGCTAGCACTATAAAACCAGCTTCAGTCTGGGCTAGTACAAGCAGCCGCACATACATGACACATGATATGTGTCGAGCAAGTCAGCGAGCCTGACCACCCGATCCCGTTAGTCGCCTCTTACGACAAGCATATTCGCCTTTTGTGACAAGCATGGGCTGTTGAAGACCTATTCTACCCCGGATCTTCACGGGTCCGAAATATAATACCAGATAATCCAGTGATCAACATCATGAGCACCGTTCTACTCAATTGTGATACGATGCCGTTTATATGTGGTGAGTGCCTGTGAAATATTATTCCATTTCATACCGCTTCACTTAATACTCATTGAATTTTTAAAATGTTCTTTCAGTTGTGACAAACATGTGGTACCTTCTGAATTAAAACTACTTATTTAATAACCTTAAATATATATTATGTAAAATCGGGTTTTTAATTATAATTAATTAACTTTTGAATAAAAAGAATCAACTAAACGATGCGAAACGATGTTTTGTCGTTTATATTTATACCCTTAATGAATAGCAGTGTCTTCACTTCTCCGATAAACATTTACCTATCTGGTAGCTTTCGGACAGCCCATTTGACCGCCTCCGTGGTGTAGTGGTTAGAGCGTCCGCCCCGAGGACTGGTCGGCTCGGAGTCAGTATACTGTGTCTGAGTGGGGTATTCATGTTTCACTGTGGCATGGTATCTCAGTGGGCTAGCACTATAAAACCAGCTTCAGTCTGGGCTAGTACAACCAGCCGCACATACACATACACACGCATGCACGTCGTCATATGAGCAAAATATTCTCAAGCACGACGTTAAACCCGATTTCACCTCACCTCACCTCAAACCTTATTGTAGGTACAAAACGAGAAACCGCGGTCAGTATTTCTGAAATCTGCGTATAAACCTTCTGAACCTTGCTGACACCGCAAATGTTACAGTGACCTTATCACCCCTAAAAGGAAACATAATTGTCATAAAAAAAAATCACAGAACCATAATTCTTATACATATACTTTATTGTTTAAAAATAAAGTACTAAACATTTTCATATACATAATCATTTCACAACACTGTTTACACGAGGGCATATCAGTATCAAAGACATAATATATATCTGAACCTATGACTATATGCGTCATTACTATGATGATATGATAATATGGTTCAGCATACACTATATGAGATCAATAGAGGAGACGTCATGGGGCCCAGCCTTTACTGGGCCGGCCTTAATATCAGAGACATAAAATCTTCTTGCAGTAACACAGATTTGGGATTACAGAAAACATGACCTATATTTCATAAAATACGGTTCATATCATTTTAAAACAAGTGTTCATACGAAATGTTTAAAATAAAAAGCGGATTTAAATTTAAAAAATGAAACAGTGTATTTCTACATCTATTCTTAAATAGTTCTTAAAAAATCCTATCTTACTGTGGAATGAAAGTTTGAAAAAACCCATATATTTCTATGTACATATATAATTTATTTAAAATAAAGAGGAAGCGGTTTTTCATAAAATAAAAAACTATAATTTAAAAAGAAATTATTGAAACAATATATATGCATGTCCAATCATATATGTAATAATTCAACATAGTTTTCTTAATTTGTTTTTTGTTTATTTACATACGGTTCAAAATATCTAATTGAGTAATGCCCGGGAGATAAGAAAAACCGTTAACAAAATTACGTTTTCTTTGTCATGGTGAATTCTGTCTATGCCTCACAGGTTTCAGTAAAGACTATAATTGAGAAATATAAATATATGTAGCTCTAACAATACCCTGCTGCTTCGAGCGATATGGTTGTCATGATATGCATACGTATATGAACACCGCGCAAAAATGTACCTTTTCATGGTAGTAGCCATGGTAAGAAAAGAAGTGAATTTCTGTAAGAAATGTCAAATTTACCATTTTTTCTGTAAAGGAAAATTACGTTTTTGCGTAGCGAGATCTGATGGCACTTTTAGTGATAGCATATATATCAATGTAATAATATACATATGTTTTCGTATTTCTACATCTATTTACAATAGGTTATGTACAACTATGCATTTTCAATCGGTGGTGTAATGTATATTTTAAATATATAAAATTCTCAAAAATGGAAGGTTAACAAGGGTCACATAATATAATAATAAAATACGTCTAAAAACATATGAAAATCCGGACCATTATCGTAGGTCCGTCAGCAGTTACTGCAGATCACGCTTTAAAGTACATAATAGCACATTGTGAATTTGGGTAGGAAAAGTTTGGATCTTGTGCTCCTTGCTATGAAAACGTACCTCTCACAATACAATGACAACATAGAGAAAAATCTACATAGATACACATTTCAATATGGCCGGAGATAGGGTTCAAATGGAGGCGCTTTTGATGATATGCTATCCTTCTGTAAGAGTAAGTGTCTCATATATACGTCATTTCTTTGACGTCTCTGTCTACGTCCAAACTGTCATGACTAGCTTTCTTAATATTGCTGCTGCCGCCGATATCCGCTTAAAAGTCTGAGACATGTCACGTGGCCCGTATTGGCCTCCACACACTTCCGCCATCTTGATTCAGGGGAGATAACTCTAAACCATTAGTGTCCATTTCACTGATTTCACTTTGGTATGTGGTGGTGACGTGCGCACGCGGTCACTGTGGGTCAATCTCGACCAGAATGATCTCCTTCTGATCCTCGCTCACATTGTTTATGTCTATGATGAATGTTGATTCATGGGAGTAATGGCGGACGATGTCGTCGTCCATGTTCACATAGATTCTGAAAAATTAAAAACAAACATTATAACATTTGAGAGGAAGATGTAAACTAGTGGCTCGTTTTGGTTGAACTTGTTTGCTAAATGTAACAAATTAGGACCTAAATTATCTTTTTCGAATGTGTTGAGAAAGGTTACTTAGTTGTAAGAGTGTTTATTTCCAATACGTTTAGAGCACTTCAGGATAAACGGCGGTTAAGCGCTTTAGGACCAGCAACTCCTTGAACAATCAGTACTTAACGTTTATTTGGTAATGCCCAAAATTTGCTTGCTACTGAGAAAAACTACTGCTTTATGAACATACAAAATAGCTTTCACAAACATTTTCAAAACTCAAAAGTTAACATTAAAGAATTGATATATACCCTTTTGACTTCTTGTAGAAATTCTTGACTTGTTTAGGTGGTATGTGGTATTTCTCCTCGATCTTGAAAAACAAACAAAAACATGACAGACTAATTCAATAAACAGGTTGAATTAAAAGCAAACACTATCCACCAGTTGTAATCTGTTTTCAGATTCCGTATCTGTCATGCATTTAATTTTTAAATCATTATCTGCGATGAAAATCTTTATATAAATCACGATATAGTACGGATAAAGTGCACAAATACCAGCAAATACCAGCACAAATACCATTAGCCCTTACTGCCATTCAAAATATTTTTTACAGTTCAGGAGTCTCGGATATAGGAAAAGACTAATAACAAAATCCGATGATGATGATGGTGATGGTGATGATGATGACTATGATGATGATGATGATGATGACTATGATGATCTTGGTATACATACCGCTTTCAGTAGGCCGAGCATAGTAGGCTGTCGTAGTAACAGTGCCGTGAACACATTCTCTTGTTGTTCCCGAACGTACAACAAAACTAAAACACAAATATAATTACATTGTAATATATGATTCAAAGTGGTTCAATTTCCCTTGCACTAATCTTACGCATTCTGTTTTATTACTTATTGTTTATTTATTAATTTCTTTAATTGGTACAGATAAAATATTTTGGGGTCTTAAGCAAGTATCATAATGAGCATATATAGAGAAGACGATTCTTACTCTTTGGCATGTCCATGCAATGACTACAAGAGGTTCGTCTTTGGCGCTTTGCGGGCGGGTAGAACTCATCACTGCGAGATAAATCATCACCTCCACTCAGACTGGAAACAAAACAAAATGAAATAAATATACTTGAATGTCCAAACACAATTTTTGTACTTTATCAAAGAGCTTTTAATGTGGTATGTGATAAACATGTCACTGAATTCGTTAAAAGATTGTTCCTTTAATATCCAATAATAATTATCCTGCATGTCGTTTTTATCTAAATAAATTACACGTCTTATGGAGAAGGCTATCGTCACAATCATCATTATTAAACGTTCATGCCTTGTGATTTAATCTTGATAATTCATTTTAGCTACCCATGTCTAACAAGTCCTAGATATTACTTCTTGGGTGGGACTATTTCCTATCTCCACAACATAAAACTTCCAATAAATCACCACCACCTCTTCTCGTTTCCATCGGTTTGATTGGTCGTTGTGTTCGATAGGTGGTAGCCAAGGAGGTGTTCAAACACCATACAATATATGTTATTACATGACCAGCCCCGTAATATTTACACTCCTTCATATCGCTTAAATGCTTTAAGTCGATAAACGTCACCGTTGAAACGACGTATGATCCCCCTGAGTGGGCGGAATAGAAGCTTAATCTTCAATTCCCAGCTTGAACAGTTGTATCCTACGAAGTACTTCAAAGTGGAAAGTGTGAGACAAGCGTGGGCGAGGGAAGGTTATATTTTCACATACTTAGAAAATTGATTTTATCTTAAGAGAGCCAGTAAGTCTTTGTTTCAATAATACTGAACATACGATGTGTTATTAGGCCGAGATACCAGACACCGGGGCAACTTAACACTTGAAGAATAATTCGACATCGGGACGTCCAGGCAGAGAATCTGATAACGCCCCAAACAACAAAGAAACAGAATCGATATCCAGGTCGAAAGCACCAGGTCTCAACATCTTAACAGAGCAATTTGTAGCGGGTGTCATGAGGGAATTCTGTTGTCGCAGTTACATGTCGATGCTTGAGCCAGTAATTAGTTGTTATCTTTCATTGCTCTTAAGTCTATTGATAACATAGGCCTGTGAGATCTCAGACACTGACAGGACATCAACGAGTGACGACAGGGTCAGTGGAAACGTGTAGAACGGGGGGAACTATCACCTGTCGACAAATCCGATTGATAAATTACATTCCTGAAGGACTAACATGATAGAAGATCATAGATTTCACGATGGGGGTTCATAAACATGAGATTTCCATATTTCATCGTGTAACCACTTACTAGGTACTACATATTCTACATATGCCTCAGCTTTAAGTATTACCAGGTGCAAGGGATTTATAAAGGACCAGATCAAACCCCGGCAACACCAGATTAACAGATTGTTTATTTTCTTTTGGATGCTATTTTTATGATGACTACGTATATACATTTATAACAGCTTACTTTTTATTCATCTGCATTTTTCTAAACGGCTTTGAAATCTATTTTTGTGGAAAAGTAATTTCTAAGGCAAAGCAAATATCCCAAAGCAGTGGACTGAAATGATAAGCTCAATCTATTGATACGAAATTACAGTGTCTCAAGGTGGAATCTGCACATCGCCCAATTCTTATAAAAAACAACAACTGCCCTTCGTTAGCCTCCTCAAGGAGAAAGAATCACAATTTCGATCACCGCGAGTGACATTGAATATGCTCACAGAAATAATCTTCTAAAGAAAAAAAATTAAATATAACTTACCTAGAACAATCTTCGTCGTGTGAAGTTGATATGATGGAACTTCCCTGTAAAAAAAGAACCACTGTTACAATACTCAAATAATATCAACCATGAAAAATAATCAGCCAATCCTCTTATTAAAACCACCCGATACTCATTCGGATCACTCATGGGTCTCTGATATATGGAAGTATTCCCATTACGTTTCCAATACTTGAAAAAAACACCAACGCCCCATGAATCCCTTGCTCGACTAAACAGACACAATGCACATATCACCATCTCGTATAACACACATAATCATAGGGTGTAACGGGGGCGTTAATCCACCCGTACATGTAAATGTGAGACCAACTCACACCCTACAACTACAACCACAGTCTCGTGGTTACCCTTGGAGGGCGCTTGATCCGAAAACAGACAGGCATTCGTTTATCTGTAGTTCCATCTTAACATAATAGGTGTTTTTTTCTTTCTAACTGTTTTCATAGGCAACGCTTTTTCTATTGTATTGAAGGTTAGTAATACGATCTGAATGCGGGGGTTGGTTTGGGTTTTATTGCTTCTGACCCATCTAACTGTCCTCAAATATATGCACCCCAACGGAGCATAAGCACGAAGAAAAACGTGGATACAAAGAAGGTAATTCGCTTTTTCCTTATTTTGCTCAATCACAAATCCACAGAATGGGAATCCTACACGACGAATATAGGTCAAGCGTAAAATGGTCTTCCAGCCCTACTGCATCACGCCGTGACATCCTTTAAGAGTAGGTACACTTATCGCCCTTGAAATTATTTGGGTTTTTTCTTTGGTTCAGTATAATCCACATTACCCACCTTTTGAAAAAAATCTTCAGAGTCGATGCCATTCGACGGGTTAAAGATGGACGGATTACTTTCAAGGTCAGCCATGGAGTAGAACTCTGACCGGTCACAGGCAGAATGATACACTTCCTCTTTGATCTTCCGCGCTGAAAATATATTTGGTATGTGAAAATACATAACAAAAGCAAAACGAATAGTTGTGTTATTTTTTTAACCTGAATATTGTGAAGATTTTATTGTTTCATGTTTTGACACTTACATCCATTTTCCATCTTTCCACGTGCGTTTTTCCGCCTCTCTTCATCTCTCGTTTTTCTTTCAGCACCCTATAATGAGGAGAAGGAGTCTTAAAATGAAGTGTACACAAACAAGATACAAGCACACTAGAAATAAATATGATTGTATATGATTGATAAAATACTGCAGTTGGGAAAGAAACGTTAAAAACGGGCTCTTTTAACCACATTCAAGGTCCAGGCATGTGAAAGCAAACATCGTAAGGTAATTCAAAGCTATGCACACCACGTAACGAGTATGATTTCAAACAAATAAAAGAGACAATATATTTTTTCATAATTAATCGGTCTGTGTCTTAGTGCGCTATGCATCAACTGACAGTCATTTCATCATGATAATAATATATATTTGATTCTGTGATCGCTTCAGTGATTGTAAATACAAACTGCTTAGAAACTTCACACACCACTGCATCCATTGGATAGGGAAGAACACTATATATATTTTGTCCTGAAAACACATTTGCGATTAAATTGCTAAGTTAAATGCACTTCTTCAGCGTCTAGACGGCTTCTGGATTCAATTTAGGGATTAGATTTGTCAGAATGTAATGTGTTTTAACCCTCTCTAGATGGAAAACCCATATCTAATTCCTGCAGTGACATTCAACAGTTTTGGTCTTTCATAAGGAAACATTGAGAGACATCAAAAGAAACAAATCACATAAAATCCAGTCACATGTGGACGTTAAACGAAACGAAATAGTTCAAAACAAGGGTCAGGTCATCGTTTCGCATGGCGTGGCGTGAAGCGACGTTGACAACATTGACGTGTTTTCCAATGGAAGCTCACCTTATCACAAAACACCTTTATCTGACAGTAGCCCCTGTGGGTAGGATGGGAATCTTTGTTGTTCTCATATGTGTCGATCTGAATGTGAAGAGGGATTCCCTGCAAATAGACACACATCTTATAGCAATGATTGAAAATATATTCGGGTGGAAATATGATGGTGAAAACCTAGGAGGAATTATGAGAGAAAGATGCGAAAAACCTGTAAATACATCAAGCCATTATACCACGTATGTTCTCATTTCCTTTAACTTATGATCTTTAATATGAGGAGCGGTGGTGTAGCCTTGTGGTTAGTTAAGACCCGGGCTCGATTCCCCACATGGGTACGATGTGTGAAGTCCATTTCTGGTGTCCTCCGCCGTGTTATTGCTGGAATGTTGCTAACAGTGGCGTAAAACTAAACTCGCTCTCTTTTAATATATCGTCACTGTAGTACGGTGTAGACATTAAAAAGAATGGGAGGGGGCCTTAAGTTGATGGTTAAATCTTCACAACCTCTGTCACTGCTAAATATGTTTTGTAACTGTGACAGTGGTTTTCTATTTTCCGATCCGATCAGCTTTAATTCCCTGTCAGACCTACGTCAAGGGATGTGTGTTCCTATGATGCCGTGTCACTCCGAACAACCCATGTCACTTATGAGTAACTCTAGACGCGTACAAAGACTGGGAAACCTCCACCAAACAGTGATGCCATTATACGCTATCAGAAGTGCCTTGATAACACCTCGCCAGGAAAATGTAAACGAGGTTAAATTATCTATAATGACTTCGTCTTTTCAATTTCCGCCATGCATAGCTATCAAGGCAATTTTCATTTGTACGATTCAGTTCTCCCCAAGCAAAGTATCTCAGTTGTGAATCTTCACTCAAACATCCTTTAGAAATGCTTGACAATGGGTTGTTCGTGTGAAGGAAAATCAACATGGCCGACAGCCTGGGTATAGAGGTGAAGTACCCAGTGGTTGGATAATGACAGGAGACGCTGTTAAGTGCGTCAACGGGTGGGGGTCAGCGGTCAAGTGACCTAAATATGCCACTGACCTGTAATTTGAAAGTTTATTCATGAAATGGAACCTAATAACCATATTCCTAGATAAAGGATGGTTTTATAGGTCACCTGGTTTTGTTATATGGAAGTATGCTTGAAATCAGGTTTCGGACTCCATCCAATTGGAACAGCTGATGTCTATGAGGATGGTTCGAAACAAGCTTGCTCTTTAATAAGTAGTTTCTGATATCTGACATTAACTATTGGAAGGAAAGGTTTATATATGAGTATTTCTTTGTACAGTTCGTTCTGAGATATATCACGGGGCATTACCCTCATAAATTGCTTGTGGGTTTCATGCATCAGAAGAAATGAACGTGTTTGCTGGACGAATACAGGAGCAATGGAGTAGACGATACCAGCCCTTTACAGCGTAAATACAATCAGGTGTTTTAACCATATTGATGCATTCATGCATCTCAACAAAAAGAATTTGCCCGAGGGGAAATCGTAGTCAATTTGTTTAAAGGTATTAGAGACGTTATTACCTCAACATATGTGCTTTACTACTTAACACTAATGTCCTGGTTACATAAACACGATTCTTGTAAGAATCTTTTGTGGCAGTAATGTACACTTGCTCCTGTGTCTACAACCCTATCTACTCTCCGCGCTCAGCTGCAGTCATTTGCTTATTTAAAATCTCTATTTGAGCATATTTAGTTAGGGTACATAGCTACGATCACGACTACAATGCCACAGCGGTCACTGAGTCAAGCCCTGTATAACGACACACCAATTTCAGTGACAAGTGGGTTTTGATAATGTGGATCAATATGTTACCTACCTTAACACCCTTTTGATTACTGAAATCGGTACTGAGGCAATGGACTGCTATAGCAACCTGCGAATGAATAGTTTTGAAACATTAATCAGACAATCTTCAATGTAATCTAAAATTTAATTGAATTCGGGTATACGCATAGTTAGACATGTATAAACTGTAATCGTATCAAACATGATAATAATCTGACATATGTATTAATTTATAAAATTTCTTCAATTGCGTAAGGTTTAAATCGTCAAATGCTAATGCAAGTTATATGTTTAACGCCTCGAACATAAAAATGAAGGGAGTAGTATCCCACCTTGACTGGAGCCTCTCTTGGATTCCATCGAACACAAACAGCATTACAGGAGATCTCTTCAATGGAGCTGGCAGAAATACCATGACTGTTCTTTGTATCTGAAAAAAAAGTTCGTAAAATGTAAAGTACATCCAGAATTTGAATAAACGAATATCACTTCCAGATCAGGTGTTTCATTAAATAGAAACTTGGCGTCTGCAAACTGATACCAGTGTTAAGCATCTTCTGTTACTTTTGCAGGAGTGTATGCTACATATATAATGAAGCATCTGTATTCACGTCTATTACTCACCAATATCTAGTATTCTCTGTTTGTAACTATGCTGACGGCCATGCCAAAAGTCCCAGGCTCGCTTTTCCTCCTCTGCACCCTTCTCCTCTCGGAAAACCAGCATGATGACAGACTGCAGAGAGATGGGAATAATGCTTATTTCGTGAATTAAAGAAAAGTAAATGAGTGAGATTAGTTTTTCGCAGCTTTTAGCAATATCCCAGCAATATCACGTCGATGACACCATATTTATATAAAAGTATGCAAATAAAAGTTACAACACAATTTCTACAATCATGTCTCTGGCAAAAATCATTGTCCATTGTACAATTGCCACTTTATCATAAGCATGTGTCTAAAAAGCACTATGAAACAAGGCAAGGAAGGACAACGTTGGGAAGCTTCATACATGAATTAATATAAAGCAGGTTGAATAATGACAAAATATAACGAGGTTCCCAATCTAACTTATCCTGACTGGAAACTTTTTCAAATGTTCAAAATCTATCTTTGTTTATGTTTTGCATAGTTTAATTCATTCATTGTTGCAAGTCTAATATGACACCTCAGTATTATAATAGTGATGATGATGATGATTTATTGTTGGATGTTTGGCTCAGTATTTATATATTTTTGCATATGATTAAGTGTTAAAGTTTCACGCGAAACTTTAAAATATATATCGCAAATTGTGAAGTGAAGGCAAATATTTCAGTAGGTACGATATGTTTGTCAGAAGGCATAATTTAAAAAGGTCAATAACATTTAGTAAAAGCTTGTGTGAGTGGAGTCATATATCACATGCATAAACTAAACGACTCATAGTGTGTACAGATTGGCTCAGCCTGAATAGTAGGACTCTATGTAAGCACAACAAGTACAGATGTACACAGTCCACATTAATGGATGAATGGACACATCTATTTCCAGACCACAACTCTCTCTCCCCCAGCTTTCACTTAATCAAATGGATGAATGGACGGCTAGACAGGACAGCTCTGTCTACTTCAGAAAGTACGTGGGTCTTTCAACCCCTCAGCTACAGCTTGGTACATGAATGCACTCTCAAGACGCTAAGAGGGTGTGTCGCTTCTGGTGGGCGTTCCAGCCACAAAAGGGAAAAGAAGCTCTCGTTTGCTCCCCGTTGGGAGTTCAGGCCGAGGTATGATCAATCAGGTGACTGCCTTTACCCATCTGACACCAAACAAGGCCAAGACGGACGAGCTCCAAACACTGACAAACAGCCAGAATGAGATGTACAGTATATGGTTCTGTGATCGCAAGAGATCACACGCTCTCCCCGGGCATGGGTAGGTCCCGAAAGGTCCCCTGAGTACATTTGAAGCAGAACACTAATTATTCAGACATCTAGTTCCTGTGCTGCTACGGAACAATCGGTACATTTCCCCATTAGGAAAGTATCTCAGACAATGATGGATTCCCGATTATTGTCTAATCCTTAACGTTAACATGTTGACATACAAAACGATGTATTGTGGCGAAGAACGTCACTATCAACCACGTATATGTTAACGCTCTCACGATGTTTTGGCTGTATATTTCAGAACTTTATCCAAGTCCATAATAATTAACCACAGAGGAAGCTATTTTCTATCATAATCAATAGTGGCACTTCACATAGTGCCGGTATGTCAACACGCTCCCTATCTACGTTAATATCTTACCCTGTCACCCATGGCATAAAGCGTTATGAAGTCCAAATTTTTGTTATGCAAACATGTGCAGGGGTGGGTTGGGTGACGACCGGGTTGTGGGAACATGGCACTTCAGTTTGATATAGACATACAAAGCGTGAGACTGATTGTTCTATACAATGACTCATTTGTAATGTGTTTGCATCATAATTGTTAAACATAGCGAATGCAGCTTGGATTGATTTTTCGTCCAAGGTATCCCTGGTATTTGAGACATTCGAAAAGAAACCTCTATAATATTATCATTGTAATTAGGTCTCTCCATGTAAACTAGTATTTCTACTAATACTATTTCGAGTTTCTTTTCCCTTACCTTTACTGTAGCACTCTTTGGAAGCGTGTAGGCGGGATTGAACTCAAACGTCAAACCATAATATTGACCTGAAACAGAGAAAAAAACAAATTTATATTACATCATCGAAACATAATTAATAAATTAATAAATTCAAATGCATATATTTATTGGGGAATAGTTTATATATATGTAACGGCGAGTAAAATTAGTTGTGCTTTACGACAGTTTTAGCATTTTACCTTTTATTTTACTCCAAAGTTGCCAGGATGCGGTAACGACAATGTAGAAAATCGAACCCATGCCTTAGGCTTGACGAGCAAACACTTCAACCACATGGCCACCCACCGTCCCTTCACTTACCTTTGTTTAAATATGTAACTCGATCCTCCTCAATACGTTGTGTGGTAGATGTCGGCGTCTCCATGAAGTATTTGTATCCAGCGATCTCCTTTTCTCTGCAATTCATAAAATCCAACAATATAGCTCCATTGATATGTATTACGTTATAAGAAACAAATATGCCGGTTAATAGACACATTTTGAAAAATTTTATTATTCAATTATATCATTACCTATTATGTCCTGTGAACACATTTTGAATATTATGTATTCGTGTCTTTGCAAAAATTGCAATGTGAACGAAATAATATATTTCTTGTTTCGCTATTGTACATTCACGAATACATGTAATACGATCGCAAACGACTTCAATATGAAAGGAAGCATCTTATAAACACCCATTAAGATGACAAATTAGGCAATTCTGTTTTTAAGCACATGCATTATACAATTCTTGTTTGCAAACATGAATAGACAAAGTTAACAGTACCAGCATGGAATACCAGTGAGACCATACATTACTGTCTTCAATTCTAAAAGCAAACACGTCAACCTTTCACAGACGATTCTACAAGTTGGAAAAGGTTAATAATTTTGAAAAGTGACCTTGAGGTTTATTGTGTTTGGTAGAGCCCTTCTCAGCGGTGAGCAGTATTAATACAGTCAACATACTTCCCGGAACCACGGGGATCCATAATTTAATTTAATCTGGTTTCAAAATCAGTAAGTGATTTATAAGCATTACGATCACTGTGACCCAGGTTTCGTGTGACATCTACCCGGCAAAGAACATGAACCAGGGTTTAATGAAATAATAGAGCAATTCAAATTGAAAATTGAATACCATGTATCCATCGCCTTGAAAAATATCTACATAAATCTTTTGAGCCACATTTCAAAAGACTGAATTGTACAGGATTCTGTATGTTTTTGGTTTGAATAGATGCTGGTGGGGTGACACTAGTCGAGATATAAAACTACCAAATGTGGGACAAAGTTATTGATAAAAGCAGTTACGTATTGCAATATACTGTATGTTCATCCATACGAAAAAATATTGTTCTAAAAACTCAGATTAAATATCTGGCCAGTTTGTGTTTTATACTATGCTGTATGTTGGTGAAAAGGATTAATAGAATTCAATAACCAACTTCCCCATAAGTGATCCATCAAATGTCACGCTCAAACGATCAGCTGTTTTGTAATCAATGTCTGTCAAAGCTCTATATCCTATAATAAATACTGTTTCTCTCCAGCTGACATTGACACAATGTCACTGATTGCGAGTTGTTTTATTTTCTGTCCCGGAATAGGTTGTGACCCTAAACAATGGCTGAGTGTCTAGTGACAAGAATGCCAGAGGGAAACTCTCTAGATTAATTGATAATGTAAAGGTTCACTGCCCTTCACTCACACAGCACATGTAATACCCATCATAATGTAAAGCTATTTATATCCAAATACAAAGAGTATTCATGAATTTACATTTGGAATACGTACAACTAACCATTGTTTAAATAACTAATCAGTTTGAAAAAAATCATACTTTTATAGAAATAAAATTGGGAGGAGTACGTAACCCTGCAACAGTCAATGCCTTGTAATCATATTTGCCTCGCTGTTGCATATCTATATGGAGATATCCATGAAAAGATGAACTAGACTAATCAACCACTCCCTCATTCGAACCAAATCTACAACGATTACAAAGTTTATTACTGTTTCCTTGATTCTGTTTACCGATTTAAGATGCCATTTCAGTTTGACCGAAAGGAGGTCAGATGAAATGAAATATTGTTTCCACCTGGTACCCTTACTAATCCGTAGGTAGTACAAATTACCCAAGGATATAAATTCCCCTTCATCTTAATCCACAATGAAAATGTTTCCCGATGTCAAACAATGTTGACCTGACTGATCGTGAATAGCAGGTATCACTCAATAAGGTGTCAAAACAGGCATTTCCAATGCCTGAATGATTGCGATCTATAACCTGGGGCGACTGTCAGAGGTGAAGTCTCAATAGGACGGTATGTTACTCACACTTTAGGTATGTAGGTTGAACTGCAGGCTTTGTCCGGGTTCGAATATTGCCTTACGAACATGGGCACAGATTTCCTTTTCTTGGTCGCCGTCTTTTCTTTCACGACCGCCGCATCAAAGTTTCCATTTGCATCTTTCACGCACTGAAATAGAAGGGGAATTCAATAATGCTGCCTGTAAATATAGCCGAGCAAATATTGATCAGTTAAAATAGACAGAGACTTGCTATTGACACGGCTCATGGCATACTATAGAACGCAAACACAAGCATCTTCATCAGAAATACCTGGCTAGATGGGCTTAGGTAAATATATGGTACAGCAAACATTGCGTTCTTGGTGTACGATGGACCAATTATGTAGCTCTCGTTTGAAGATGAACCAACCAATGTACCCTAAACAATCTGTTTCGTTTGTACGGTGGTCCGACGACTGTTAAGATCGACTTCATAGATAACCACAAATCAACATATAAGGTTTCGCGATATGGTGGTAATAGACCTATGTGGCGCTCAGAAACAAACTTGTTGATTGTTTCTGACATAAATTTGATCGTGGACAAACGTGAATGGTGGTGATCAGTTGTTGTGATGGGGGAAAAGGAAGACATTGCGATTTGACAAGTGACATGTTATGAATACACATTTCAAGCACAATGAATTTGTTCGTTGATATCATTAACAGTTGATGTAGTGGACGAAATGAATTTGTTGTAAAGCCTTCACTAATCTGCTTGTATCGGACATGACCTGGATATAGATACACGTGTACAAGCATGATTAACCAACGAAATACGTACGGGAATATGACACAAATGTTGCATATCACTATCTTACCTCCATTCCCTGAATATACTCCGTGTAACGTATTAAAGCCACTCGAGATATGTCAAGCGACGCCATGAGAAATACCACGAGAACAACAATCGTCACTGAGCTTCTTTAGTGTGGAAATGAAAGCGTTGACAGCTCGTGTTTTTCAGTTTGAATGAGAACATATTCGTTTCGAGGACAAGCCACATAGCATACACTTTCTCATATCTATTTCAGACACACCTTGCATTAATACATGAAAGTGCCTTTCTAAATTACATAGATTTACATGGCTCTCACACAGTAACACTAGCGGCTTAGATATGTGTTTCGCGTGAGTGAAGGCTCGTTCAACCAGAACGGAATAGTGTACACGCCGTCAGATTTACAGCTGAAAATAGGAATTTCATTTGACGTATTCATTTAAGCATGCACAATGACAAGATTAAAACGGGCGCCTTGACATGTCGATGCAGTTTTCATATCCTTCTTGGCAATACAATATTACTGAAGCATATTTCTCAACCAGTGAAAGAAAGCAAGCTGGAACACGAGAATAGGTCTGGTAGTGTTCTTTGAAAGCTTGCGTCTTAGAGATTGCATAAAGCAAACTGTTATGTGTGCATAGGGTGTATGCATGTACAAATACCTTTTCATTTAATGTCGCTATAAAATACGTGTGACTGCTTGCACCGTGCTTCAGTTGCATGTTATATTATAATAGTAATAGCTTCTTACATGGTTAAACAACCAAGCCCACACTGCAGTAGCATCTTCATCGAAAATGTGGGTAGTAATTATAGGATAACGTTCAAGAAAATGGGATCACCTGAAAGAAACGTATACTTTAACACCCTCACAGGGGCATCAAATTCATTGTATACTGTCCACGTGATATCTCGAATATTGACATTCATAGCCAGGATTGTGTTACATGGTATATCCCTCTTGGCGCCGATGGGTTTTAGGCTTGTGATAGAACTACTTAGGAAAATATATGATGTTGGAATACTTACAAGAGTTCCATTTGAAGGCGACAGACAAGGTTCTTGGTAGCCGCTGTCTGGTGACTTCATGCCATAGTTTTCATTGCCATTAGTCATGTATTGCTGGTATTGGTTATTGTAGGCGAACTGTTGCTGGACATAACGCTCCAACATTGGAGAGTTCTGTTTCTCAGCGTCCAGCGCGAGACCACTGGACGGCGACGTTGGATACGTATAGTTTGATGATGGGTAATTATACACATTGTTTATGGAAGGTAGCGGCTCGACTGTTTGCATGGGCTGAAGCACTTGGAAATATTGTCCCGAAGACTGAACAATGTTTGTATTGACCGGCCCTGTCTGAGACAAGGATGAAGGCCCACATGTTGTCATAGCGTTCATTGGAATCACCGGAACAGTTGAGGCTTCGTAAGGAGGTGGAAGTTCATTATGAAGTTGGTCCAAGAAGCCTTCTTGCTTGATGTTGGCAAACGTTGTCACTTTGTTCATGGTTGTAGCTGTTGGAGATGACGTTCTGGGGCTGTCGTCTATGTAGGTCTGGACTGTTGATGTTGGCTCGGCTAATGTGCGACTTGCTGCTGATGAAGCACTAGGTTGACTGAGTCGTTTGCGTTTTAGTTTCTCATTGAGTGCACGGCAAACCTTTTTAGATACATCATTAGTTTTCTCCTCTGACTGGTGCTGGGCAGGGTGCAAGGGGGGAGATTCATCATGATGCCCTGATGGCGGACAGTTGGGAAGAGCAGGCTCTTTGTCATGTAAAGACTGGTGCTCATTGCCCAACGTAAGATCCTTAGCCTCAAACGAATTACTGTCAAAAGTCGCCTCTAGCTTTACCGCACAGTCATTAATCATTACTGAATCGTCGCCATTTTGCAGTGGTGTCGTCTGGTCACCACAGGGTGACGTAGTAGAGTCCACTATCTCCTCCTGGTCGGCCTCGATGTCCAGACGAAGTGTCGTCTGCTCTTTGCACGTGCTGGGTTCGGCTGCCTGAAAACATACAACAAACATGGCTGAGATGTGGATACATCGACACAAATCTGGCTGCTGTTCCGCATCAAGCGTGAAGAGTCTTACCCTTTTTGTGGTCATTTGATCGCCGGTGTTTCCGCGCTATCTGACACCCCACAACATAGATAAACGGAAATGGGGATGGAGAGGTTGTCTTCTGTTATCAAAAGACGTAAACAGATCTGATTGTTCATCCGAATAAAACAAAACGATCCATTTACTGACTGTCCTGACACGACACACAGACTCTGATGAGCTAGCCCTCGGGTGAAGGCAAGATCACAACGCTTCCACCTCATTAAGTTTGAAATGTCTGTGTAAGTTTCCTCTATCACAATGCTTACTCTTGTTCAGTTTATACGAGTAGTTATGGTCGTGCGAGGTTTACGCGTTTTAACAAGTGCGTTCTATATACAGGGGTGTGCGATCGAGTGATTTCGAAGGAAGGACAATATACTGAGGGAAACAAATAAGGAAACACCACTTCACTTTATTTACTCTCAGATTTCCTCCAACAGTGCAATTCAAAGCTGGTGATGAAAACTTGAAAATTTTAAAGGAATGTTTGCTGTGTTCCTTTATTTGTTTCTCTCATTATGTGTAATATGTAAATTTACAACATTTGAAAAATGTATTTATGATTCAAGGGGTGAACGTTAAAAGAGATTCTTCAGACTAAACATGATTGCAATATTCTTTCAGTTCATTATGATCATCATTATCATCCAAATGTCGTTCATAATTAAATATTTTTGTAATGTCTTCTCGGTAATCATCCTTTGATCTAAACATGAAATACAAATATACGAGACATAATAATAAAGGTAAACTTTAATGGGCTTTAACATTACATTGAAGATTCCAGGAATACATACACCAGTGTCAAAAATGTATATCTGTCATTAAAGCAGTTAAATGTATAAAAGGGAAATAATAAACAATAAACAATTCGTTTGAAGGAAGAGACATGTATTAAAGTCAGAAATGATCAGACGTCTAAATATGCTTACCTAACCCACAACACAATCTCCACATATTAAACTCATAATGACTTAACTCAAGCGTTGCGTGGAGATGAAGGCCGCAATCGCCTCGGGCAAGGCTTACACCTCAAAGGACCGGCATATTTAATGACAATGTTAATTGTATGTCATGGGACATGAAACAGATTGAAATGGTACCATAGCTGCAGCATTTCCTAAGGAGATAAGACAAGTCATATGCACAAATCCCATCGTATGTGGCTGCAATGACATGTACAAGGGCTGGCGAGCATCAGCATATCATGTTAGACGACGCCATCAAAGCTTCTCTGCAGTGTTGGGTTACAATTTATATCGAATTTAGGCACAACAATTGTAAAGATTTTTCCACCCTTCGTGTCATTCGTTTAAGTCTGCCATTCTGGAGTAATAATCTGGCATGAACTCCGCAAAAAACATTTCGAGCCGATGGTAACTCGATCCAAGGGAGGTGAACATGTTATTTTCGTTTGTTTTTTTCTTAAAGTAGACATAGCTGTTCGTGCAGCAATTGTTGCAGATTTCGAAACAAATCGTTATAAATTTAGAAATGTGTGATCGGAATATCCATATGATAACTCTGGAGGTCAATACATTCCCACCTGGAGGTATTTATATGATTTAAACCTGACTCATCACAACCTACCTGGCGATCGATGGTTGAAGACAGGCCAGATGTGAAGGAATCGTATAGAAGACAATCTCCTACAGACTCCGGTTTTATCCAGACTCAGTGAGGAAGCCTAACGTTATCTAACCACTGACGACAAAGTAATTCAATCCAAATAGGAAGTATACTCAACGCAATAAATTTACACAAACTCTCGATTTTCCTCAGCTAATCAAACCTACGCTTACCTTGCTCTCGTAATGGACGTTATCAGAACCCATGTCCATCTTGACCAAACTGCACTCCTCGCTCAAATAAAGGGTTAAATCTAACCCTCCCTGTCACCTTTAATGCCAGTATTTGTTCAGTTCGGGTGCTATCTCGAAATTACGTAATTATTTGCTCAGTAAACTCACCTCTACTTTGACGAGTACCCCGTCTTTCGTCTTCTGAAAATCGGCTTCACTTCCAGCCTCACAACTGTGGAGATATTTGTCGAATTCGTTGGCGAGTATGATCTCCGAACTGGCGTTTAGACCCTCGTCATCGCGCTTGTTGTCGGGTCTGGAGTAAACAATGGGAAGGAATGTGAAGCTCACATTGTACAATAATCATTGCAGTTTTATAGGATGTTGTACAGACGGTAGGTTCATGAAACACCTTGCGCGGCCTTGACATTGACAAGCACGCCATTTTGTGGACGTCGACAGGCGTTGCTATGGTGGTGTATGGGGGCGAGAACAGATCATCGTTGGATATAGAATGTGGAACTGAGGTATTTCCTGCTGTAGGGTCACAAAATCTATTTTATTGTCAGCACCACAGTTACGACAACAGTAATGCTTCCTCCATTCAGAACTTAATATCCTCGTCACGTACACGGCTCCATAGCAACACGTGTTTACTCTCATGTCGACACATGTAAACCTGTAAACTATGAATTAAATCTATCTAACCTCCACATCACAACATAAAACTACTCTACCATAATGACTAGACACACATGTCTGCAAAACCCAGCGAAGATGCGGGTTCGAATTGCACTTCAGCGACCCAAGCTTGTTGTAAGAGGCAACTAAGGGGATCGGGTGGTCAGGCTCGCTGACTTGGTTGACACATGTCATCGTATCCCAATTGCGTAGATCGATGCTCATGCTGTTGATCACTGGACGACTGTCTGGTCCAGACACGAATATTTGCAGACCGCCGCCATATAGCTGGAATATTGTTGGGTGTGGCGTTACACAAGAAAGAAAGACATGTCCGCAAAGTACCTGGGCCCCGTTTCACAAAGCTATCGTAGCGCTACGACCGCCTACGTTACAATATAGGAGGTACGACAGTCGTAGCGCTACAATAGCTTTGTGAAACGGGGCCCTGGTCACTAATGTCGGATGTACAAGGGTTTTGATTCTTGTTTCATGGATATGAACCGTGGTACTTCAGTGATAACTATTGATGACGTCATAAAAGGATGACGTCACACTCACCTCATATCGAACAGTGGTTCTCCTCCCTTTCCTTCAACTGGCACTATGGGGCCAAGGTTCATGTATTCGTGATACAGAGCAGCACCGTTGGCGTGAGAATCTTCCCCGCTGATGGCCGTAGATGCTGCCGTGAGGGGGTGACCGAAGAACGCCGCGGGGTCATCAGGGGGGACGTCCTTGGCGGCATTTTTTAAGTCAGTGATCGATCTCTCGTCTTTGAAATTTTCCCTGTGGACGGAAATGTTATGTTTAATACATTGTAAAACACCATGGCGTCTAAAAACTTTAAGACATTGTTTGAGTCTTAACAAATGTTGGTGTACATATTTCCTGACAGTGCGCCACTTGTCAATGCAGGTAAGATATACATGAAATGTACACTCATGGTGAGTTTCAGAACTGAAATGAACACTATTCATGTTTAGCAAAATAGTGATTTGACATCGTCGCGAGCGTTGTCAAGAACATGCATGTGGTCGAAACTGACAAGGCAGATCCACGTCATGTAGAAGTTTACGAAACCAAACCTAACGTCGATATTGTTATTTAAAATATACAAGCACTTTTTCATATCTGAGACTCACAACAGCAATGCAATAAACCGCCTCCGTGGTGTAGTGGTTAGAGCGTCCGCCCGGAGAGCGGAAGGTCACGGGTTCGATCCCCGACCGCGTCATAACGAAAGACGTTAAAATATGGTACTTGTTGGTCCCTGGCTTGCGCTCGGCATTAATGGGTACAACAAGGACTGGTTGGCTTGGAGTCTGTATAATGTGTCTGAGTGGGGTATTAATGCTTCCCTGCGGTATGGTATCTCAGTGGGCTAGCACTATAAAACCAGCTTCAGTCTGGGCTAGTACAAGCAGCCGCACATACACATACACACGCATGCACGTCGTCATATGAGCGAAATATTCTCAAGCACGACGATAAACCCAATTTCACCTCAAGTCACCTCACAACAGCAATGTGTCACTTAAATGATAATGATACTGGTGGTAACATTTCCTATAAAAAAACTTCAGTGGGCAGCGTCTTCAACGTTCTAAATCAGAGCCACATCAACGTTGTCGTCCAACTTACATGACCTTGACGACCGGACTTGACACACAACGCTAACGTCTAGATAACCAAGGTCCGTCAACAACCGTGATTTCCACCCATCCACACATGGCTGCCTGGGAGCTACACTGATCGCATCAACAAAGTCCTTTCCTTCGGGCACATGGACAAAGTAAAGGGGATTTCATAACAACCCTTACACTTATGTGGAAGCCAAGCAAGCTCTTGTCAATACTGCAATTACCTCACTTGGAAATCACGGACCATGAACACAGAGCGGCAATATACCCGAAGGGTTTACCGTTTGAAGATGGGAGTGGGTGGGGTATGGGGGAGGGATGGAGGATGGGGTTACAGGTGGAGGGATTTGGTGTCAGAATCGGGGGTGAGATTGTAGAGGGGGGCTGAAATAGGAACACGGTGTTATTTGCTTGGCGTATTTGTGAAAAGCATATCCATTATGATGTAAATTGGTAAGATGAACGGCTGTAGGAAGAAGATTAAAAAGAGCCTATTCATGTCACTGGTATATTTTCTCTTTTGTTAGAATATATCACACTTCACTGCAAGTACACTCCCACTTCACTGCAAGTACACTCCCACCTAACGCCAAGACACGCCGACAATTATTAGTCTACTGACTGACTGACTGAGTTTGGTTTTACGCCGCTTTTAGCAATATTCCAGCAACATCACGGCGGGGACACCAGAAATGGGCTTCACACATTGTACCCATGTGGGGATTCGAACCCGGGTTTTCGGAGTGACGAGCCAACGCTTTAACCATTAGGCTACCCCACCGCCCCTATTAGTCTACATGTGTCCAGAGGTGTTCATGAGATGCTCTAGGAAAAGAACGTGTTTAGTTGTAATGTTGTCAATATAAACTGACGTGCAAAAGAAAGTATACACCCAGTATTTGGGGACAATGGTCCAAGAAACAACATAAACCTAACTATTTTGAAAAGTGCACTATTTTAACTTCCAAGAAACAAACATTGTTGTGTATGTTTTTGACAAAACACCCCAGACATCCCTTAGAGTAGGTAATGGGTTATCATGTCCTTTGGAAAATAATCCCAAAGCACCATGTGTGTACTTTTTGTACGTCAGTTTATGTTTGAATAGCATAATAATATGTGAAGCATTTTAATGATGCTATTTAAGATTTGAAGAACCCTTTGAAATGTGACACTTATACTGCGCATTAGATGTTAGGCAATATACTTGGGTAGTCACGTGAGCATAATGAAGATGCAATATTTTTCACATTATTCATAATATTCAAGATCTTGGATATACAAGACAATATCTTTCTGGAGGCTGGTTTTGGAGACGGGGGCTAATTGGCGGTGTTGATCAGGGCGTTTGGGGGTTTGGGTGGACGGGGTAGAGTGGTGGCAGAAGAGACAAATACACATTAAGGTTGAATTTAATCTCTACTGTTGGACGATGAAAGAGCAATGGGTGATTTGCAGGCGAAAACCTGAATCAAGCTTTCCAACCAAACCTATCATACAAGTAGATCATTCACTGAAAATTGTTCTTGCGTAAACACTTTCAAGATCAATGATGAGCTACGGTCAAATAACCGGAGTTCTGAAAAGCAGGCTTAAAGTTGATGGGTATGTTTAGAAGTACTGCAGCATTTTGTCTGTGAGATTAATCCGTGTTCAAAGGGACAAAGTGGTTCGTGGCCACCAAGTGGTGGTGATTAGAGGGAAGGGGTTGCCCCTGTGGTCACTGATCCGGGGGTAACGTGGGCATATTGGTAACAACGGGGGCTACAGGAACGTTCCAATTCTGACAGAGGGGTGACAACACTTGTAACAGAATCGATACTTGGTATCAAAGCTTCTAGACCCCACAGTGGGCGGTGGGGTAGCATTGTGGGTAAAGCGTTCGCTCGTCACGCCGAAGATCCGGGTTCGATTCACCACGGGTACAATATGTGAAGCCTATTCCTGGTGTCCACCGCCGTGATATTTCTGGAATATTGCTAAAAGCGGCGTAAAACTAAACTCACTCGCTCCAGGCCCAACACCTGACATGTGCTCGCAATGCAAGAGTTTTTGTGTTGTGTTTGTGTATGTTTTCCATCATACAGCTGTTGTATATAGGCAAAGATCGTGAATAGGATAGGATAGGATAAACACATGAAAACACATAAAAACAAACGCTTCCTTTTAGACGATTACTGCTGGTTACTCATTCCACAGCCGCGTTACTCCGTGTCAGTGAGTCGTTAACCCATAGATTACTTTATCAAAGTCTAGTGGTTAAAGCGTTGGCTCGTCACGCCGAAAGCCCGGGTTCGATTCCCCACATGGGTACAATGTGTGAAGCCCATTTCTGGTGTCCCCCGCCGTGATGCTGCTGGAATATTGCTAAAAGCGGCATAAAACCTTACTTACTCACTCACTTTATCAAAATCTCACAAGATGCGAATGGGATTCGGGTAACATTTCTTCCAACATGGACTGCCCTCTCAGAGAGTACATTTCGGTCTGCTGTGTACACTATTGTAGAAACTAAGTCCGCTTCAAGACATGCTTCAACGAATGACATAATTGTTTACTTTCTACAAAAAAGAAAATGGTGGGCATTCGGTTCACTTGCGTTGAAGCGTGAGCGTTTTAAAAGAACCATCGCTTTGCTTCTCCTGTTTGCCAACTGGGGAAAGTAGCCGGCCATGTCAATATTTTGCCCCACTCTCAACAATACTTGGAGCGAACATGTATGTGACCATTATTCCACCACTCTCGCTCTGTTTGCCGACTCACAGAAGAAAGTCTGTGGATTTAAAACTAATTAAGGGTGGGGTTTGAAATTTTTAAATAAGGAAATAAAACACTACAGTTGAGTATTTGAATATAAGTGCTTGTACGTACCACAGTACCACATTAAGCTTCATGCGCCAGCTCCCTTCACGAATACGTCGAAATAACACGTGCGTATGAACATTAAATAGCAATGATAAATTCGGAATATTGCGGAATGATTCAACTTCGTGATCAGTGTATAATGAGCAAGCTTGACAAACAAATTCACTGGATCCAACGAAGCTTACAAGCCATAATCAAACATAATTCAGGATATACTATTCAAAAGAAGTTACACAACCCACCCAGTTCTTTTATATTCCTGAAGTTAGTCTGTCCTGGAGGACACTAAATTCTTCCAACAAGCTTAAAAGTGATAATGAAACATAAGGCAGGTTATACTACCAAAAGGAGGTTAAAGAACTCTCGATTCTTTCACATGGCACACAAATTACAGCAATATGAAAGGATCGGTATTTTTAACCTATTTTAGTAGTATAGCTGTCAAATCAAGGAAACGAATTTGAAAAGACAGTAATAAAAGAGATGCATTCTCATACACGTTGTCAGCTTTGGGAAACACAACAGTTGTGCAATCAAGTAAAGACGGAGTTCGAATATTGTGAGTAGGCGAAGGGCATTAGTATTCAGTCGACATCAATAACATGCTATACCACAGCTGTATCTTTTCACGAACACTGCATTGTGTTGAAAGCGGTGACTTCATGCCTCACAACCTATGTACCTTTAAACTCGTGCATGATACCTCATGCATTGAAATAATTATGTAAATTTTGAATTAAAACACGGTTGGAGGGACGGCAGTGCGGTAATCAAAGCTTCAGTGTGGGAACTTCTTCACGTGAATTAAGACATTGGTAAAACTTTACAAAGTTTTAAAATAAATCAGCTTTAAATATATAGTTGAATTAATAAACATTGAAAAAAGAAAAATTAAGTTACCAAAACAGTAGATCTTCCAACATCATTGTGGATAATCAGTGAAAGTATTCCAAACACGTTGAAGCTCCGAGAACTGTACAGTCAGAATTCCACCCGGGGTATAAAACCCCTCACATCGTCGATAAACAATATAGCTGAAGGCACCGAGATTCCGACTTCACCGTGGGCAGTTTGTGGTTACCGGGGGCGAGGAAGGGAAGAATGTTGGGGTGCACTCTGGCTACACACCCACGCTACCTATTGATATTCATATTATCGCCTACCGCACACACCCGCCTTCGCTTAAGCCTTTCTTTTGTTGCCAACGGGTGAAGGGAGATAACTCTAGACGCTGGGCGGGGCTGATCGCTCGAGATAGGACTGTTTTCAGCCAGATCGGTG